CCCATTCTCGCATTCCCGTATTCCCCCATTCCCCCTTTCCCGCATTCCCCCATTCCCGCATTCCCCCATTTCCGCATTCCCGTTCCCTATTTTAAAGATAGCCGAATATGGCGAAATATGCCGGAATATCACGGAATATCACGACAATTTCCCGGAATATACCGGAACATCACAATATTTTCCGATGGTAGCCTAGCCTGCGAACAGGCTCCCAAGCTGAATTGGGAGCCTGCATCGATGACTAATGAATTTGAATATCTGCGTCTCAAATCGTGACGCGAAATTCTAATTGGTCAGATGCTATAATTTATATGTTTCCGCTGAGCTCTATATATGTCAACTGCTGAAGCACTATGCATAAAAAACACATTAACTGATCAAATTGGTCTTGGCCGTTTTATATCAAAGCACGAAATGTTCTGTTTTGAGAAAACAGTATTTAAAACATTTGAACTTTCGCTTGAATATCTTATATTTCGAAAAACAATATAAACTGTACGGTCTAAATTTTGTTTGCACGGTCTAAATTTAGTTTGCACGAAAGTTGTAAACAACACCGTATAAGGATAGACATTCCATATTTGGAAAAACGAACGTTACGGGGCAGATATTCAAATTCATTAGTTATGGATGCAGGCTCTCAATTCAGCTTGAGAGCCTGTTCGCAGGCTAATGGTAGCCATTCGACTGTTTATAAACGTGAACGTCTGACAACATATTTTATTACAAAAGTGATGGATCTTTCCCATTTTGACGGTAAGTAATAAATAATCTATACTGGAAGTTTTATATGTTGTTTATATTATTATTACGAGCGTTCACCAAAAATTTTGAATCCATATAATTAATTCTTCCTGAGTTACAGCGGCTTGAAAGACAAAAGTGCTGACGTCAGCATTATTTTCGAACGCCTTCAATGCTTTGTTATACACAAAATTATATGAAGGGTGATCAATATCAAAAACATCATTCGATGATTCTGTACTTCGTTGGATGATTATTCATGTTGTTTAATGATTATGCAAGATGTTAGATGATTACGTGTTTGCTCATTTCACGTGTTTCGTCCGATGATTCCGTATGCTGTCATTCCGTATGACGTTCGATGATTCTGTATGCTGTCATTCAGTATGATGTTCGATGATTCTGTATGCTGTTATTCCTGATGACGTTCGATGATTCTGTATGCTGTCATTCCGTATGACGTTCGATGATTCTGTTTGCTGTCATTCCGTATGACGTTCGATGATTTTGTGCCTTCAAGCAAACTAGCCTGCGGATTCTGAGCCACAAGGTTATAGATTCGTGTCTCGCTATTTATAATGCTAACCCTAATCCCCACCCTAACCCTAACCCTAACCGCTAACCCTATTAGCGAAACATGAATCTATATCCTTGCCTGTTGCTTTGTCTAGCGCATCTAGCGCCCTCGTGTTTTTCTGTGCTCGTGTTTTTATAATTGTTTGGTTGTCATTTCGTTTTTACGGTGCATTTTTTGACATGGATTTACATGAACAGTCACCTTGTGATAAAGATTTCATAAGCACAGCAACATCAATATTAAGAAATACGTTAAATCAACTTCAAGATTTAAACTCGTCCACACAATCAAGTGCGGAATTGAGTCCTCAAACTGAAAGTCAAAAAGCACAACTACCTGTACCTCGACCTGTACTAGCACCGAGTGTAGTACCTCAACAACCAGTTTACAGAACACTTAGTTGAAAAGCAGAGATTAACTAACCATCAAAGTGGAAATAGAAAGCTACACTCCACTGAAACCATTAGCCTAATTATCACTGACCACATTTTTAGAGCAATGGACGAAAAAAAGATTACAGCAATGGTTTTAATAGACCTGAGTAAAGCCTTTGATAGCATTTGCCATGAAAGACTACTCCAAAAGCTCCAAAATGTAGGCGCTTCTTCCTCTAGCGTTGATTGGTTTCAGAGTATCTATCCGATAGATATCAAGTCTGACAAGTCACACGCATTGGTCAATCTACATCAACTCCTTTATTGGTGAAACATGGAGTCCCACATGGCTCCATCTTGGGTCCACTGCTGTTTACAATATACATGAACGATTTACCCAAAGTTGTTTCGAACTGTGACGTAGAATCATATGTTGACGACACAAAGACGTTTATATCATTTTTCTTATCAGAAGCCGACCTTGGCCTGTTAAGCCTTTCCCAAGATCTCAGAAGTATAGCAGAATGGTGCTGTTCTAATAAGCTTCTAATAAATCCCTTGAAGACAGAGTTTATGATATTTGGAATGGAGAAATCGATAAAGAACCTGCCAAACTTATCAATTCCTTTTCTAGGAAAAATATTAACACTTGTCACAGTTTGTAAAGACGTTGGTCTCACTTTCGATGCCACTCTGACATTTGACGATCATATCAATTCATTGACGTCGACCCTAACATCAAGTCTGTGTCAAATCAACAGAGTTCGACACTTGTTCAACAAGGATGCCTTATTGGTCATGATAAACTGCCTAGTATTTAGCAAACTTTACTATTGCTCCACGGTTTGGTCTGGCACCACCCAAAAGAACATTAAGAAACTACAACGAGTACAGAACTTTGCAGCACGAATCGTAACCGGAACTAGAAAGTATGATCATATCACCCCGGCTTGGGATGGTTGTCAGTTAACGACTCTCTATTGTACCGTAATGCTATTATGATGTATAAAATAGTTCATGGTCTTGCACCTGCATATCTTAGTTCCAAGCTAGTAATCCGTTCGCAACTTCATAAACATATTACGATGTAGAACATCTAAAGCTTAGCGATCCTTTTTAATCATGCAGCACTGCTGTGGAACTCATTTGATCTTTCGAATCGAAACATTTCAACTCTAGGAGGATTTAAGAAGGCCGTACGAACAGAGTTAATCAATAGACAGAATTAATTTTTAATAGTTCTCGTAATATACAGTTACTGTAATTCTAGTTTAGCTACAGACAATATATCTTCTTAACATAAGTTCTAAATAATTGCATGTAAATATCATATTACCACACTTATTTGTAAATTAGTTATGAAAAGCCCTTATGGGGATTAACTAATAAATCACATTGTATTGTATTGTATTGTATTGTATTGTATTGTATAGTGGCCAAAGTTCATTTTCGATGCCATCAACATCGTTTAGTACAGTGAGGTAGAACAGGGTAAATGAGAATTTCAGGTAAGATAAACAATATATCGGCTATTCCATATATATAGACATAAAATATAAATTTTCTATAATTGTCGATGGAATGATCCTGAGCATCCTTCCATTTCTTGCTTGGTTGTACCGCAGTAATACACTGGTAAACCACTTTAACGAAATTTCGCGTAGTCTATTTGGTCCGAGCCAATATTGTGCTTCTCTAGTTGAGACTGAGTTATTTCAATAAGGATTCTTCTTCCGTAGTGTAGAAATGCGCTAGACAAGCAACAGACAATGGCTCAGAATCCGCAGGCTAGTTTGCTTGAAGCTAGGCGCAGAATCATCGAACGTCATACTGTCAGTGTGACCAGATTTGGTAATTGTAATTACTTTTGGTAATATTTCGCGATTTTTCTGACTTTTTGGTAATTGAAAATATTTGGTAATATTTTTAGTAATTTCTCTTAAAGTTGGTAATATTTTGGTTATCACATGAAATTCAACCAAATACACCATAATGACACAACCTGTTATTCAAAAATTCAATGAGAACAGTTGCAGGTCAATGCTTGCAAAGCTGTACATCCAAATTGCAAGCTTCTGGCCCAAGCTGTCCAGCTGAATGGAGGGAATCCTGCTGATTACCACTTACCCTGTGCTGTGCGGGCCCAATCATTGAGGCGTCATATTTGCATTTTGCACAATTGCAACCAAAAAGTACAAGTGAGAAAGAAAAACATGGAAAAAACATAGTTTCAGTGATGGAAAGCATTTTACTGATTTTGTTTTCCTGAGATGTTTTATTGATTTTCAGACCACTTTGGTTGACCGCAGCAGAAATTTAGTAATTTTTTCTACGTTTTGGTAATTTTTTGCATGCTTATTTAGTAATTGCCTTGCAAAATATCTGGTCACACTGCCATACTGTGGTCATACGGAATGACAGCATACAGAATCATCGAACGTGATACGGAATGACAGCATACAGAATCATCGAACGTCATACGGAATGACAGCATACACAATCATCGAACGTCATACGGAATGACAGCATACGGAATCATCGAACGAAACACGTGAAATGGGCAAACACGTAATCATCTAACAACTTGCATAATCATTAAACAACTTGAATAATCATCTAACGAAGTACAGAATCATCGAATGATGTTTTTGATATTGATCACCCTTCATAAAATTAAACCCTGGCGCACACGATGCGATTTTAGTCGCCGATAAAAATCGTTTGACTAAAACTAACAAAATCGTTGTGTGTGCGGTGTCATTTTTAACCGATTTTTGTTGCTCGATTTTAATCGGACAACATCAAAACGTTTTGATATTATACGATTTTTATCGGTGGAATTTTAAGTATAGCCAATCAGATTTCATGCTGTGATCACGTGCTTGTATTTATTTGGCAACATGGCGGCTACAGTTCAGGGAGCATATTTTTTTCGTAATCGTGTGCGGAGTATACCGATGAATATCGGTATATCAAACGATTTTATCGGCCGACTAAAATCGCATCGTGTGCGCCAGGCTTTAGTTAAAATTGAAAATTTTATACCAGGGGCGGCGGAACAGGGGGGCTAGGGGGGCCCCAGAAGCCCCCCCCAGAAGTAAAAGTGGGGGGGGGGCTTAGCCCCCCAGAAAATTTGAATTTTTGGAAAAAATTTTGATAATTAGGGAAAAATTTAGGTTATTTTTTGAAAATTTAGGTATAAGGGGACAAATTTGCAATATTTTGTTTAAAAAAAGTGTATTTCCGAAAAAATTGTTTGATATAAGTCCGAAAAAAATTTTTTCGTCCCTTTTTTTGTATATTGTACCCCTAAAGTGGTACACTGACCGAAATTTTTTTGGCGACGGAGGGGGGAAAGTTCGCCGAAAAAATTTAGCCCCCCCATAACGAAATCTGTTCCGCCGCTGCTGTTTTATACCACCAAGCATTTATCCAAAAATCAAACACTAAAATAAAGGCAAGTCCGAGCCAGTTGTTTATATCAGGTAAGAAGTCCTGTCTTAACCTTAACCAATAATTTTTAACTAAATTTTGCGTATAACACAGTTCTGAAGGCGTTCGAAAATAATGCTGACGTCAGCACTTATATTTTTCAAGACACTGTAACTCAGGAGGAATTAATGATATTGATTCAAAATTTTGGTGAACACTCGTAATAATGATATAAACAACATATAAAACTTCCAGCATAGAGTTATAGTTTGTTACTTATCATCAAAATGGGAAAGATCCATCACTTTTGTAATAAAATATGTTGTCAGACGTCCATGTTTATAAAGAGTCGCATGGCT